AGACAGGCTTCTTTCAGCATACCGTGTCGTATCATGCTTTATCGTCTCTCCTTCTTCAGAGACAGGCTTTCTTTCAACATACCGTGTCGTATCATGCTTAATCGTCTCTCCTTCTTCAGAGACAGGCTTTCTTTCAACATACCATGTCGTATCACGTTTTATCGTCTCTCCTTCTTCAGAGACAGGCTTTCTTTTAGTATACCTCATACCATGTTGTATCAAGTTTTTTTTTTTTTCGTCTCTCCTTCTTCAGAGACTGGCTTTCTTTCTGCATACCGTGTCGTATCAAGTTTTTATCGTCTCTCCTTCAGAGACAGGCTTTATTTCAACATACCATGTCGTATCATGTTTTTATGGTCTCTCCTTCAGAGACCGGCTTTCTTGCAGCATACCATGTCGTATCAAGTTTTTATCGTCTCTCCTTCAGAGACAGGCTTTATTTCAACATACCATGTCGTATCATGTTTTTATGGGCTCTCCTTCAGAGACCGGCTTTCTTGCAGCATACCGTGTCGTCTCTCCTTCTTCAGAGACAGGCTTTATTTCAACATACCGCGTCGTATCATGCTTTATCGTGTCTCCTTCATCAGACACAGGCTTTCTTTCAACATACCGTGTCGTCTCTCCTTCTTCAGAGACATGCTTTAGTTCAACATACCGTGTCGTATCTTGTTTCATTGTCTCTCCTTCTTCAGAGACAGGCTTTCTTTCAGCATTATATCGTGTCGTAACAAGTTTTACGTCTCTACTTCTTCAGAGACATTCACTATTCCAGTCAAGGTATTTATCCTTATATTTATTATTGGTTTTAAAAATTTTTAAAATTTTTAAATTCAAATTTGTATTTTATTTATCAGTTTAATTTGAAGCACACTTGGACAAATAGAGCCTCCCATTTTGTTATTATTATCTAGATAGGTGATAGGTACCATGGACACTGGATCTCAGCAACATACAGAAGATACTACCTGTCATCATTATAGAGTCTAATGAACTCTACCCACAGGTTAGTCAGGCAGTGGATCACACTCTGATGACATCTCCTTTTGGAGATTTCGGACTCTCAGACTACCTATACTAGTTGAGTGTGTTCCATAACCTAGCACCCTGCCTAAACGTTCGGTACTCCTGGACCTATGTGGCAAGCCTGCTCCCTGAACAAAAAAAAAAAAAAAAAAATCTAAGATGAAAATTTCCTCAGATTTTGAATACAATTACTTTTTAATGGTGTAAAATCGTTTTTAAAAGTTATTACTTTGTCAAAAATCAAGTTTTAAAAACGGTTAACTTGATGACGTCATCAAAGGGTGTTCATGACGTCAAATAATTTGTTTGTACAATGTAAACTAAAGTGTAAACAATTATTTTCAAGACCTGTGGTCGGAAATGGCTGTATCTTTTATACTTTTGAATCTATGGACAATTAAATACAGGCTACAATTGACTGGCAAAGCGTCTATCCCTGAATATGTATATATGTATATATCACGACAATCTGTCATAAAACAGGGGTTCTAGAAAACCCACTTCCCGATGTTCCTGAAACCTGAAACTTTTTTTGCAGTCGATTTGGTCAACGTCTAGACGCCCTGAAAAATTTCAGATCTCTAACTTAATTTTAACATGGTTTTTAAGGCACCTGAATATGGCGATTTTGGGTTTTTTTTACCGAATTTCGTATAACAGTGCTGGCGAGTATTTTATGCAAATTTCTTAAAAATCTCAACATAACTATTTTTTATTCCTGTCATCTTTGACATCAAATTAGAATGTTTTGAACTAAAATAAATCTGCTGAACGACTTCCGATGAGTCTTAATGTCTGAAAAACTCCTGCCGGAGGCGGCGGCCTTCGGCCGCCGCCTCCGGCCGGAGTGCACGCTTCGCGTGCACGAAAGAGGCTTGTAAAACGTGTAACAAAGAGGGTATAATAGTAAAGGGGGTATAATAGTAAAGGGGGTATAATAGTAAAGGGGGTATAATAGTAAAGGGGGTATAATAGTAAATGGGGTACATAGTATACCCACAATAAATGCAACGGTCGTGCTTGCCAGCACTGTGATTCCTGTCATCTTTAACATTGAATTAGAATGTTTTGAATATACCTGCTGAACTACTTTCGATGAGTCTTAATGCCTGAAAAACAATAAAGGGGATATAATAGTATAGGGGGTAAATAGTATTGTGAATATAAGGGCGACGGTAATGCTTGCCAGCATTGTGATTCTGTTCAATATGTTAAGTGTTTGTGATTTTATTATTCTCGCAACGAGTTTGCAGAGTTCGCGTTCGTGATTTTGGTGGTCTGAAAATCTGCGATTTTGGCGGACGTCCTAAGTAGATGGCCCCTTATCTCTTCACGAGATGTCAGAATCAATAGAGCATATTAAAATTTAGATTTTATAAGCGAAAGACCAGGAGATTATTAATATTATAATTGAATTACATGTTTAGCAGTTTACCGTGGGTTCTATACTAGACCTATCAGTATCCAGTACCTTTCATATGAATTGTTTGTATCATCCAAAATATATTGGTCAACTGCTCTCTTGAATCAATATCATGAACACCAAATAACCCAATTCTTTGCTTTTGCCAATTTTCAAATCAAATATTATGTTATAACAGTAACACCAAATAACACTTAAATTACTTTAAATTTCAAATCGAGTTATTTTGGTGTTGTGACTATAGAGTTTCCACATCATGGTATGTCATTTTAACAAATTGTTACTTCTACAATCTACATTAATCTGACCCTCAGGAATTATTCAGAGCTGCCTACCCAGAACTGGACAGCACTACTCCTACAACCATCCCTGATCAAATCACCACAGTTCTGTTCAACGTGGTCTCTGAGGATTCTAAAACTATAGCTCTGACGTACTCAATACTGTGTCCAGCTGTTTCGGGTCCTCCGTCACTCATTCAATCAGGTATTAAACTGTAAACACTGACATGTACACTGTGCAATGTACATTGTATACAATGTACATTGTATAGTGGGGGACGACTGACGAGGAGTTCTGTATAAACATGATATTAGTAAGATACAGCTCTAGTTACGACATATAATAGTGGCTGAGTACTGACTCACGTAAAACTGACGCGATCACCTCAACCTGACTATTACAACTACAAGGTTGTTAAATACGTATTAGGAGGGAATACGTATTGGAATACGAATACGTATTAATCCTCGAAAATTGACGTATTACGAAAAGGTGTGTCGTGCGCGCAAAAAATTGTTTGCTTATTGGATTATCCATGAAATTTTATTACAAATTTAAATATAATTGCACTGCTTTAATGCATGATATTCAATGATGGGGGTGGCGCGCAGCTGTAATGTTTAATTTTGACAAATCAGCGTATTACGACGTATTATGGCGTATTCGTGGACGTGTTTAATTTTAACAATCCATAGAAATTACCGTATTACAGCGTATTACGACGTATTCATTATTAGAACCGAATACGTCGTATTATTTCACGAAAATTTGACGTATTTAACAACCTTGCTGACTAAACAGTTGACCGACGAAATATAGTTTTCAAGTTCAACAGTGGTTTACACTGTGTCCTTTTAACTTAGATATCAATAACATTTTCAAGTTAATGAGAAATAATGCGAAATGTGGTCTTTAAAGCCTGGAGAGTGGAGACTGATGGAACTGCTGGATTGGAGCCTACACTCAGACTTTTAATGGATATATTATGGCAATAGTGAGTCAACCTACTCAAAGTCATAAAATATAAACTATCCAACGGTATGAAATCTTGGAGACAGTAACGGTATGAAATCTTTTATTTTATTTAGATAAACAGATTGAGGTAACGATTGAGGTGCACAGCCTCCCATGGGCTCTACAGTTAATGCAGGATGCAAATGCAGACAAACCTCTTAAGCTCACGTAAAGTAATCTGCCTTGTTTGTCATACTACTAATAGAAGACGTTGGGGACTGTTTCTTGGAACAGGGAGAGGCAAAACCACTAATATTTCCTTCAAATTTCACTGTATTGCATATTGTGGCAGTATTTTTGGAAATTTCTGGTGAGTTTTTGTACCGATTAAAATATATTTTTAAAACAGATAACATTTTTAACGAATTATTCGTTACGATTATCGGAGTTGATAGCCTAGTCACATATATAATCATATATACATATTACCCATATTAGCCCTAATCACATTACATGGTGCAGATTTAAGTGATAAGGGGTCGTTCACAGATTACGTAATCAATATTTTGGCAAATTTTACCCCCCCCCTCCGTAATCAACCGTAATCAAGACCGAACCCCCCCCCCTGTATTACGTAATCAAGGTTTGACCCCCCCCCCCCCGTAATCATGAGACCCAACCCCCCTTCTATATTTTATTACTATCTATTACTTACTGGGCGGCGCTCAGCCTGTCATTCCGCCGAATCTCTATTCGTTAATGAACATGATAGCCTGAGGTCCCCAGGTAATCTATTACATATTTATGTTAAGCCATTTATTTATTAAAAGCTATCGCAACGGATTAATGAATGAAATAATCGCAAAGCACTTACTATTTCGAGAATCGGTAAAAAATTAAAATTTTGATTACGTAATCAACGACCAAACCCCCCCCCCCCCCGTAATCAACCGTAAGCATTTGAAAACCGCCCCCCACCCCCTCGGCTGATTTCGTAATATGTGAACGACCCCTAAGTCTAAGCCAATGCAATCACTGGATTTTTTCTTTATAAACTGTATAACGGACGACGGATTGACCAGAAATATTCTTTTCAGAAACTGATAGTGTTGGAAGGATCCTCCCCAAGAAGATTTCGCAGTAAGGATCAATTACAAATAGAACCTAACCGGACTTGAGTTAAAGTTGAGCAGTGTAATTGGTTAATGATAAAGAATTATTTCTATTCAATTTATGTGTGAAAGAGTGTTTGTGATAGAGACTGAATATTTTGTAACTATCAGGTTTATGATTGAATTAAAAGTAAATACGCCCATTCCAATTTTGTAACAATTTCGATAATAGATACAAACAGATCTTAGCGTCAATATATTATTCTCTGATTTGTTATTCAAAGAAGTTGGGAAAATCCAATAAATTATGAAAAGAAATCCGCAAACCCGAAAACAAATTTAAGCTAAATTATTCTAACTTCGTAAAAATCAAAGTAACAAATCAAGTAATATTTAATATGTAACTAATTTACAATCTGATAAGAATTAGGGTCTAATTAAATTTAGCCGGGAACTCCATGACAATCTACAATCGAAAAAGACAATACAATTCAGTCTGGTTTCAACATCTATTTCATTGTATTTGTATACAGGTTCTAAATTCCTCCGACTCTAGCATTTCTCCAAGAGTAGAGCAATACCCTGTCCACCACCAATGCACGCACTACCAATACCGTACTGAACATTCCTGTGCCGCATTTCGTAGATAAGGTTAGCTGTTATTCTTGAGCCTGTGGAAGATGGTGTTGGTCAGTGGTCAGGTTTTGCAGATCATATAATTGAGTACGGCATTTTGTCGCAGCTATAAAGACAGGTTTGGCTTCTGAGCAATGGTTACAACGATCTTGCTAACTGAACATTTGTATATGATTTTTTACGCATAAATAAGTAGTACCTGAAGCAGCAAGAGGATGGCCGATAGCGATGGCTCCTCCGTTAACGTTAGATATCTCGTTATCTAGACCCAACTCCTTAGAGACAGCTAGGAACTGAGCGGCAAACGCTTCATTCACCTGCACAGAGTGTCAAGTTATAAACTGTTAATGGCATTTTTCAATCAAAATTCAGTGAGAAAGTTGTGGTTTTTTCAAGTCAAGCGCTGATAACAGTTACCTGTAGAGTGTAGAGCAAACATGTAATTCAGGAGAGGGGAGGTCACATCGGACTATTCAGTTTAATCCAACATATCAAAATCTGCACTCTGCAGCAAAACAAACGGAAACCTAAATACAGGACTTACATCAACAAGTCCGATATCGCTGAGGGAGAGTCCAGACTTGTCTAGGACTTGTTCAATAGCGGGTGTAGGTCCACGGCCCATTACTGTGGGGCACACTCCGGCTACACTGAAGTGAGTGGTTTTCAGACAAGCTAAAAACCATTGAACGGAACAGAATAATGAATTTTGATTTAATTAATTACTGTTATTACTTATTAATGCATAACTACAATTATAATTGTTAATGCAAAATACCTGTAGTTAACAAGTCGAGCAAGGGGGGTCAAGCCGTGTTCGTTACATGCTGCCTCGGACGCGACGATTAACATACCAGCACCATCACAAATACCTGACAAGAAATTTATCAAGTCCACAAATAATCTCAGAATTACACAAAAAATGTCAGAAGACTCACACTTTTATGCACTATAATCAGTGCAGTGTAAAGAAATACCTGAAGCATTGGCAGCAGTAACGACACCGTTCTTCTTGAAAACAGGTGGAAGTTTAGCCATGCCAGCAGGGGTGACATCAGGTCTTGGGTGCTCGTCAACTGTCAGCTCTACAACTCCTTTCTTTGTCTTCATGGGGATAGGAACTATCTCTTCGGCGAATCTATCAGATGGGATAGTGTTGTTGAAATATTTCAAGGTATATGTCCTAGATGACAATACGAAACTACCAAAAACTGGATAGTTTTTATTTATTAGAAAAAAACTTTTTTTGAATCATTTTAAAAACTGGATAGTTGGTGAATTGTAACTAAATATAGAAACTAGAAGTGCTTTACAAAAGTGATAAGACAAATGTAAGACAAACTCCGCACCCACCTGCCAGCTTGCTGGGCCGCGCCCCATCTCTGTTGAGACTGTATAGCGTAGGCATCACACTCTTCCCGGGTGATACCATGCATATCAGCTAGGTTCTCAGCTGTGATAGCCATCGGCATCTTAACGTGCTGGTCCTCAAGTCCGCCCCACAGAGAGTCTTCTAGCTAAAGGTACGGTTGTTAGTGAAGAGACAGTTCATGTTATGTTACTAACATTCCTGTGCTTGATTGGTCACATTTGCATTCTGCATATTTTAAAATCATAAAATAAAAACGATATTTAACATTTTATATTATTAATAAATGTTATAAAATTTGTGCAATTTGGCAGTTCCTTAAAACTACTCACAGGAGGTACGGTACCGAATGGAATGCCAAATCTAGCATCTCTGATAACGTAAGGGTACTGTGACATGTTCTCTACCCCTCCTGCTGCTACTATGCTGGAGTCACCTGGAATAACAGGATTTAGAGAAATATTGAAATTTTTAATTCTTGCATTTCTTAGGTATTCTCACTTTCAGGAGAATCCAGAGCCATGAATTGACAAACAGTGAAACAGCTGCTATTATCACACATGTTGGATCATCAAGCCAAAGATTCAGATAACTCTCCCCATAATTTGATATCATAATTAGTGGATTGATCTAAGATTCCTGATTGTATCTCGTTCGCGGCCGGTCACACTTATTACCGTAAACATTTGAAACTTGACCTGAATATTTTTCAAAGACATCCTCATTAAGTATCGAGATAGTTGGCCAGGTGTTCAACTTAAAATGAAATGATGTTAAAATTTGGAGCGTTTTTAAGCCAGTCGATTTTAAGTTTGTTAGTCAGGTCCCTAGCCTCTCGATATCATTAGTTATTATATGGCCGCGATGAGGTTGAGCTCCAGTTACTAGTAAATCTACGGTTGCTATGTTTTATGTGGCGTTTCATACATTATATAAGGCAATTCTTAGTTTGAATTCAATTTACTAGGGTTATATTCATAAATTTAGTTTTGTAGCTTATTCAAGCAGACTATAACAATAACCTAGCAAAAGTTATCACCAAGCTAGTTAGAAACTGGAAGAACCATGACTATCACGGATAGTCCACTCATCTCCACATCTGCACCAGAGCCTCTTATCTACAACCGAGCAGCAGATATTATAAACGGAATTATCTGTTTACTCTGTTTCTTTGTCGGGACAACAGGAAACAGTGCTAGCTTCCTCTACTTCCTCTCCAAAAAGAGGGATATTTCTAGACTGTTATACTTGCTGATAACAGCTACAGATATTGTTATCAGCGTGGTAGTGTTACCTGTAGGGGTTTCATACCTGTCCTCCAGATCTCCTGGTATGTTTGAGAGCGACTTCTTTTGCAATGCTTGGGTATACTGTTGGTATGGGGCCACTAAGTTCAGTATATTCTTAGTGATATGCTTGTGTTTCAGTAGGACTTACTCCTTGATGAGACCCTTTAAACAACAAAGCACCAGGGCAATGACTCTAGCAGTTACATGCTCTCTCGCACTGCAACTGGCTCGGTTAATAGCATTCCACCTTCTAGAAGGAACTAAAATAGTATACTCATCTTACTTTGTACGTTGTGAAATGTATCTTGCACACAGGTCCACTGTTGGTTACTTCATCATGATGGGAAGTGAAATGCTCTCGTTTGTGGCCCCAATGATAGCAGTCACCACAAGTTGCATTATATCTGCTGTGCTGCTCAACAAGAATGATAGCGAGCTTGGGGCGGAGCTACAAAGATCCAGGAATAAAGCAACCGTGACCATTTTGTTATTTGCAGTACTGTACGGGTGTTGTAATGTTCCACTAGTTCTGCGAAAGGTAATGAGAAATTATGCTCTTCACATCAGCAAAGACATGGACGATTTCTATGATTTTTACGATTTTGATAATCAGGGATACTTTGCAAACGCTTCTATGACGCTGCTTATTGCAGCTAACTCTGCCGTTAATCCAATTCTTTACTTCTGGAGAATGGACTCTTTAAGAGAGTTCGTCTTGTCCGGAATGAGAAGAATTTGTTACAGATGTAGAGGACAGAGTGTAGTGACACCGGCACACAACGGTGCTCCTCAGCAAGTGCAAGTGGTGTCAGCAATAGGGAACTAACTAACTAACTAGATAACTGTTTTAACTGTTAATAGTGCTAGTTTTGAACAAAGTTTACTAACTAAGGAAACTTGAATTTAATCAGAGTAAGAACGTTTTGTGATTCTTCAAAAGTTAATACTAATAAACAAATCTAGCATACGAGATTACTAAGAAGATTTATTATAATGATTTCACAGTCACATTCATAAACTTTAACCATTTCTGTTTCCTGAGTTTAACAAGATTTTTCAAATAACTCTAGAATGGTGTGAAGTAATAAAGCAACAGTTTCATAAAATTCTTCATTTATGCACAAACTCCACTAAAAGTATCACGACAAAACAAGGCCAATTCTTCAACAATAAAGATCTTCAAATAAAAGTCGCCCGTCCGCGTCGCCCAATTGTCTACCCTGTTCCAGGGTCAATTTTTGTGGCATATCCATCTAGATTTTATAGATAGCCTTAACTATCTGCAACATCTCTCTACATTCCTAGAGATTATACTCTAACTCTCTAACAGAACGACTCTACACTCCAGTAACATCACATTGTAGCAGCTTCACGATACTTATATCCTTCTTCGTCCCCTCAATAAACTCTTCCATCGACAGTCTACCGTCCGAGTCCTTGTCCATCTCTCTGTAGATCTTGTCAACCCGTTTCTCCGGCGTATTCTCGTCCTCTGGCATGTCCGTGTTGTTTACCATTTTATAGATAGCCATCACTATCTCCAGCATCTCATCCTTGGAGATGTCTCCGTTTCCATCCAAATCATACATACTGAACGCCCACTTCAGCTTCTCATCGAGTGTCCCTCGTGAGGTGACAGACAAAGCAATTATAAACTCCCTGAAATCTATAAACCCATCCCCGTTAGCATCAAATGTTCTGAACACGTGCTCAGCAAACAGCGCGGCGTCTCCGCAAGGGAAGAACGTGCCGTAGATCTTCTTGAACTCTTCTATATCTAGCGTTCCACTGGGACAGTCGTGCAGGAAGCCCCTGTACCATAACTTCAATTCCTTTGTTGAGAACCTGGTCATTTCACGGAGATCGGACATTCCCTCCGGTTTAAGTTTGCTGTTCTGTTTTCCCATTACTACTAGGGCAAATAAAATCGTTTAAAGAAAAAAGTAGAAGAGCGATCAAACGATAAAATAAGAGAAGTGATCAACAGAGAGCAGTCTACATTCCTACAAAGAATTTGAGCGTTATCTACCGGCACCGCATAGTTAACACCCAATATTGTACGTCTCCCCAGCCCGGCCAGTATAGTTAACCCCGGCCGGGCGGAAGATCGCTCGTCAAGAGACAGCGGAAAACGTAATGTGTGGCATGTTACATGTTGAACTCGCAATTAAGTAATTAGACAAAATAATTGTATTGCTTGTGTCACATTCGTGGTTTGATCGCCATAGAGTTATCATTTAACAACGATTAATTTTAACTCAGTCTTAACTTTGGATATGGTTATGACTAATTATTGTCTGTGAGGATTCAAACACGAAAATGTCTAAAATGTGAATAGAAAATCTAAGTACAATAATGTCTTTGGAATTGCTTATCCGTAAGTTGAGACGATAATATCCCAATGTCACCCAAGTTTTACGAATACCACAAAGAGGGATTCTTCGCCGTTTGGATGACAAAAATTACAAGTCTGTCATTTACCATTTGCCATTTTAGCTTCAAACTTGTTACCGTCTCAGTAAATGTGTTGCTATGTAGGCTTAGCAAGGCTAATTATACTCTCCTAACAGCCGTGTACAATACAATACTTATCAGATCGGTTACAGGAGGGGTTTTAATCTCAAGACAGCATTTTTAGTCACTTAACACTCGGTGAACGCAGCTATTAACGTTTCCTGACAGAGTTCAACTTGTCGCTTCTTAGAACACAAATTGGGACCTGGTAACAACGGGCTAGGACTGATTAAGGGATAACAGGTTCATCTTTATTAGATCGTGCACTTTAAAACATGCAGGTATTGAGTATTGACACTGCACTTTAAAACATACTGGCTTTGAGTATTGACACTGTACTTTAATACATGGTGGTATTTAGTATTGACACTGTACTTTAAAACATGCTGGTATTGAGTATTGACACTGTACTTTAAAATATGCTGGTATTGAGTATTGACAATGCACTTTAAAACATGCTGGTATTGGGTATTGACACTGTATTTTTCACCAGTTAGTTAATACCGGGTGTTGTATCAACTTGAAACTCTGAATTTTGCTCCTTAAACTTAAATAATAAACCCCACAAAATGAAACGTGTTGCAAGTAATAAAAAGCAATCGTAATAAAAAAGCAATCAAGTTCTAGGGCTAGCAATAACCCAAGAAAAGCAATCGTAGGAGTGGTAGGCAATAACCCAAGAAAAATATCGGTTGCTTGCAAGAATAAAACAAAATAATAGTCAATATTAATTAGAAAAGCAATCATCATAGTGTCTTGGTTCACCAATAACAAATATTTATATAGGCTTCAACCACAAACACCGTGATGCCATATCATTACACACCTAAATAACCGATTCGTCAATAGATTAAACCTCGCCATTCACTGAGTTTGTAATATTGTAGACTACGTTACGATTCTATCTACACACAGAGCTGTATAGTTCTTGATAGGTAGGTCTAACAAGTTTTCTTTTTCTTCTTTACGCTTTCTCAGCACACAGTTTATTCCTCATTCATTCACACGCACACACATTGGCATTTTATACATATTCTTAGACTGTACAAGCTATTCTATACACCATACTTTACACTCTTATCTTTTTAATATCTTACTTAATTATTCACAGATATCTGGTATTTACACATCTTGAACAATGGTTGAACCTAGTTTCAAATCACAATGCTCAAGTTGCTTCGGGTGGTCTTATGCTCCTAGAAATGTTTTCATTTGTCCTCTATGTGACAAACCAGTTCATAAAAAATGCCTCAAAGATTATCTTGGTTGTATTACATGCTGTCTAAACCTAATACCTGGCTATAGAGTAACTTCCTACGAACTTAATGATAATTACAATACAATAACCCCCACTTTTAACCCCTATATTCGTTCTCACGTACTGAATCAAATAGGCAAACTTACTGATGAAATAGATTCCAGCGAAATCGATCTCAACAATTGTATATCGGAGATATTGGTTAGCTGTAAGTACCAACACCCTGATAATATCAAGACCCCTAGCAATCGCGAAATTAAGATACTTTCGTTAAACGTTAGATCACTCGTGAAGAATATCTCGAATTTTAGAGAAGAAATAGAAACATTCTCCAAATTTGACCTCATCTGCCTCAATGAAACCAACTGTAAAATTTCTAATCTTCCTAATGGTCTGAACGACATTGAAATCGAACAGTTTTACGAGCCCTTTATCAAAGAACCTGCACGTAAATCTGGAAAAGGAGGTGGTCTTGCGCTCTATGTTAACAAACGCGTTTGTGATTACGATAAAATACAGGAACTCGAACTCAATCTGAGTCCAGAAGAAGTTACTTGCGGAGAATTTCAATTGCTTAAAATCAACAATTTTAAAAACGGAAATAAGACAAAAATCATCGTAAATTTCTACCGCTCGCCATCCACAAGCCCTAAAAAATTCCTTGAAAAGTTTGAAAACGTGCTCAGGGGTCTTGATAGACACTCCAGAAAGCAGATAGTCTTCCTGGGTGATGCAAATATTGATCTTATAAAATACGATACCGACGCTTACAGCCAGGATCTTATAAGCTTACTAGAAAAATATGGGTTTGCCCAGACTGTCTCCAAGCCTACCAGGGTAACTGACCACAGTGCAACGCTTATTGATCACGTGTATACTAATCACGTGACCAACGTTATTAGTTGTAATGTCGTGACGTTGGATATGTCAGATCATCTCGCGGTTAGCACGACCATTAGTTTAGGAGCCACACCTAGTTTGAACGAGCGATTCCGTAGTCAACGTGTAAAGAACAACAACACTAGCTTGAAAATAGAGGCCCGTGTATTTAACGAAGCTAATCATGCTAAATTCAAAGAGCTTATTGTAAGTGAGACCTGGGATGATGCTACCTCCTCAACGTGCGCTGATGAACAATACAATTCCATCTATCAAACGTACATGAAACACTACAATACTGCATTCCCCCTGAAGCGCGACAGTTCGAGAAGAAAATTCGAAAGAGCTGACCCAAAGCCTTGGATCTTACCCTGGCTTGAGGCGGCATGCAACCGCAAGAAGTTACTTTTTTTGAAAAAACTATAAATCCATCACAAAAAAACTGCGACGCGTATGATAAAATGAAAAAGTTTTGTCACAAACATGTGAATCTAGCCAAAGAAAAGTACTATAAGAAAATGTTTGACAAATACCAAAACTGCTCTAAAAATCAATGGAAAATTATCAATGGCCTCCTGAACCGTAACAGAAAAAAGTTCGGACACACCCGTCTGAAGGACGACGATGGCACGATTATAAGCTCCGATCTGGCAGTCGCTGAGAAATTTAACGGCTACTTCTCCGGTATTGCAGCCAGTATCAAGAGGCAAATCGCTGCCCGTCGAACCTTTGACCCAGGTGGTTTCAAGCATTTTCTTAAGGCTTCGTGTAGTAACTCGATGTTTCTTAAGCCTACATCACACGGTGAAGTCCAAAAGATAATATCAGGGCTTAAGAACAAGTCCACACTCGATTGTAAAATTGAGCCATTGAAAATTGCAAACAGCTGCGAAAACTTTACCAGGGCACTAGCTAATGTCATTAACTGTTCGTTCTCCAGTGGTACCTTCCCAAATGCTCTAAAAACTGCGAAAGTCGTTCCTATCCACAAAGGTGGTTCAAAATTGGAAGTAGCTAATTATAGGCCGATCTCTCTTTTGGGATCATTCTCGAAAATTTATGAGAAACTTATGCATGCTCGTGTTTTAGAATTTTTAGATAAGAACGATTCTCTTATCGAAAATCAATACGGATTTCGGCCAGGAAGATCGTGCGAACATGCACTGCTCAATGCCCAAAATTCTATACTACACTCTCTGAATAAGAAACAAATTTCCCTACTGCTCCTGCTCGATTACAGTAAAGCCTTTGACGTGCTTGATCATGAGACCTTACTTAAGAAGCTTGACCATTGTGGGATCAGGGGAGTCGCGCACGAATGGTTTAGATCTTACCTTTGTAATCGATCTCAATACGTAACTTTAAACGGAATTTGCTCTTCTAGCATGCCCATAGTTTACGGCGTACCTCAGGGTAGCATTTTAGGACCTCTCTTATTTGTAATTTATATAAACGACCTACCTGGAATTAGTGATTTTGCAAAGTTCATCCTTTATGCCGACGACGCAAACATATTAATTAGTGGAACCACCCTAGAAAGAAATACAATTAAAAGCTAATCAGCTAATTTCACGTCTTGTAGATTGGGTAGGTGCTAATGGGCTATCTTTAAATGTAAAAAAGACGTGTTACATGATTTTCACTAGAAAAAGAATCGACTTCAGCGGCTTTAATTTGTCCATTGACAACACTGTAATCGAACGTAAGACTGAAGCAAGATTTTTAGGAGTGATCCTAGACGAAAAGCTCACTTGGCAAAAACACATTACGGCAGTTAAAATAAAGATGGGTCGCTACCTCGGAGTTATGTATAAGCTAAAGCACCTTCTACCTATCAAAGCCCGCCTAAACATTTTCCAAAGCCTTACCCAATCCCATCTAAATTTCTGTTCCTTAGTGTGGGGATTTGCCTCAAAATGTCACATTGAATCTCTGTTCACCAAGCAAAAGCAGGGAATTAGAGCTGTTATGTCAGGATATGTAAATTATAGATATAAAGACGGCAATCCCCCGGAGCACACAAAAAGTGCGTTTAGATTGCATAATATCCTAACAGTCCATAGCGTCATTGTAAAAAACGCTCTTATTCTACTACACAAAGTAAGGAACATGCCAAGCCTTCTCCCTAAATCCATCAAAGAACTTTTCCCTCGCGATATTCCCACCTATAATTCCACATACGAACATAACCTTTCTTGGTTCACAACTTACAACGGCCCAACATTTAGAAATACTCTTTTCTTCAAAGGACCCATGCTCTCTATTACAAAACAAAGTAAGGATATAACTATTCCAAGTTCTACCTTTTCAATTGAAATCTTTAAAAATTCAGCTAAGCGCGAACTCCTCAAGCTGCAAAGCTCAGGAGACGATGAAAATTGGCCAAATTTCTTACTTTATAGTATACCTGGGCTAAGAAAGTCTCAAAGAGAAGGGCGCTCGCAGATAGACTACAACACCGAGTTAGTAAGCGACAACGCGTAAAGAAAGATCACTCGCGACAAATGACCATGATATTTTATCAACAACATATCATTTTAATTTCACTGCCATTATGCAATGCCGAATTTACATCTGCCGCGCAAAACTTTTTATCTATTATTATTAAATAGTAATTAGCATGTTTACAAATTGCGACTTCAACCAGTTTTGCAGACCGTTAGTTATATAGTACTTTTAGTAGGGCATTTATTTTAATATATTTTATTTTACATTATTATATTTTAGTGTGACTTCTATAATTTCATTTATGTAATAACCATTGATTAATAAATTGCGGCACACGCCAACCTCCACCGTGGGGTTTCAAAACAAAACAAATGAGTAATATCATTGCTGGTGGATTGGGAGGGGATTGGGAGATTGTGACGTCACAAACAGACAAAAAACAGAAAACAAACAGACAACAAACCTACCCAGCATGATTTCCTGAGCGGCGTTGACCACAGACTGGAAGCCACTGCCACAGAGTCTGTTGATCATGTAGGCAGGACGTTCAAGTGGCACCCCACATCTCAGAGCGGTATGTCTTGCGGAGTAAATGCCTGAGAGGCAGAGGTTAGTGGATATTATTCGATATTATTATTATAATATTTAATTATATCATTCGATATTTCGTTTTTGAAACACTAAAAAAGTGCGATTATGTACTTTAGGGAGATGTGCTAACCTTCTTTGGAGGTGACGGGGCAGACGTTACCGACTACTGTAGAACTGACGTGTTCAGCTGATAAACCTGCGGATATTGGTTGTTTGATGGGAGATTTTATGTTTTACAACTGTGGTTTCGGAAGGTATGTTAATTTAAAAAAACCATCAATCAATCATTATCGAAAATTGGGGCTTAGGATTACCGGTAAAATAGCAATTACTAAAAATATTTCGTTGTATTGCCAACAAACCTGCTTGAGCGAGGGCAGCTTTGAGAGCGATTTCAGATAGGTCAGTTATAGTCTTCTTTTTAAGAGAACCGCCGAACTTTCCGAATGGAGTCCTTTTAGCAGCTACTATGAAAATTCCAGACATTGTCGGGTGTTTGCTAGGAAACAAAATCAATGTTTTACTTTTAGCTACTTTAAAATTTATCAGTAAGTTATATCACTATGATTTATATCTAAGGTTCAATATAACAAAACAGTTCAGGTAAAAGGATTGTAGATGGCATTTCGCTACTAATTATTTTCTGGGAGATGGATTGCCGAACAAGATTGAGGAAATCAAAATTTTCGAATAACAAATTTGATGCTCATTTAATTTAAAATTTAGCAAACATTAGTTAATAAAAATATTTAACACAATGAGCTACAGAAATAAATAAAAACCCTTCTCAAATTCAGATTCAAATAAATTATAACTCTAATCGTTTTATCTCTTCGATAAGATCATTCTCAGAGGCAATCTTATCCATCTGATTTTTCTCCAAAGTCTTGCCCTGGGCCACCTGGCCCTTCAATTTTTCGATCTGGTGCAATTTCTTCTTAAGATTCCTGACCTTCTTCTCCCTCTCATCAACTATGGTAGACTGCAAATCTTGCATCGTAGGCGCTGGAACTTTCTCATCCTCAATTTGCTTGGCCCTATTTTCTCGTTTTCTCTGATTTTTCTGGGCTTGCCTAGAGGGCTGGTTTCGTTGGGCATCACTGCCGGGTTTGTAGACTCCACCTTGAACGTTGGGGAGGAGTGAGCGGGTAGCTGCAGCTGGACCCTGTCGGGAGCCAGGTGGTCTGTACGCCTGAGGGGGTGGAGGCATTGAGGGATTAGGGTGTACTAAGGGTAAATTGGAGAATAAATCATCTTGGAGCAGTCAAAAGTGAATGCCGAACAATCAAAAGCGTTGTTGCAAAATGGAGATACTGCCGAGTCATTCTTTCAAGTATTTACATTGGTTAATTTCTAATTTTATATCGAAGCTTTAATATGGAATTATAACTCAAGAATTCAGTTTTATGATTAATGAAAAAATATGCTATATTAGGATTTTCAGATGAGCTAAGACAAACAAAAGCTGACAAACCTGGGGTTTTCCAGCAGCAATCTCCTTAGAGGTGGCAGGTCTAGGAACAACAGGGGGAGGTAGCAGCTTAGCAGGGTTGATCCACATCAGCTGCCACAGCTGGGTCTCATCTGTTGGGACCTGGTAGTGGTGGAGTATCTTACCGGACACATCCCACAGCTTAAACTCATTGTCTTGTCTCAGTCGGGGTGACAGGGTACCTGGGAGGGGACAATTAGAAGGAGTCAATATAATAGGGTTACTCTTTCAAAATGGAGTACAGTGTACCTGGGAGGGGACAATTAGAAGGAGTCAATATAATAGGGTTACTCTTTCAAAATGGAGTACAGTGTACCTGGGAGGGGACAATTAGAAGGAGTCAATATAATAGGGTTACTCTTTCAAAATGGAGTACAGTGTACCTGGGAGGGGACAATTAGAAGGAGTCAATATAATAGGGTTACTCTTTAAAAATGGAGTACAGGGTACCTGTGAGGGGACAATTAGAAGGAGTCAATATAATAGGGTTACTCTTTCAAAATGGAGTACAGGGTACCTGGGAGTGAGATGTGACAGGGGGAAGTTGGTTGCCACGAAGGAATAGTAAGCTCAATTCTTAAAATTAGGGTATAATTAATAATGGGGTATAGGAGGTTTTTATGCAGTGGTCCTTGCTTCTTGATCATCGCACAGGGTTTGCTCAAAGTACAGTCCCATCACTGCATTTAAAAGCTCTAGAAAATAAATGAAAGACCCACCTGTGATAAAGACATCTCCACAGGGGGCCCATTCGAAGAAAGTAGCATCCGCTGCCACAAAGTCTGATAACAACTTATTGTTCTCCGTTTCATAGAACTTTATCTTGCCTGGAATTATTAGTAATTAGTAATTATTAGTAATTAGTAATAGTAATTAGATAGTAATTAGATATCTTTTATCTGGGTTTCACATTTATAATCACCAATAAAAACTTTCAATTTTTATCAATGTTATACAGGATACAATGTAATGAAATAAGGACTGAGATGACTTGAAAATGCCTAAAAAAATTAGATATCTTTTATTTGGGTTTCACATTTATTATCACCAATAATTTAAATGATAATGCCGCCAGAAATGAAAGAAAATTCATGTACTTCATTCCACAGAAAAAGGTAAATTCAACAGAATTAACATAACTTCCTCTTTGACCCCTTGGGAATTCAAAAAACATGCCCACCCCTTTATCAAAACCTCCATCTCAAGTCTTACCTCGAAGGTTCCCGAACCCACAAAGTCCGACCATGTTGCCCTGAGGGTTGAATAGGATCTCGTTGTAGTGGTTCTCTCCGAACTCGTGTATTGGATCACACTTCACGTTAAACAGTGTTCCCCTGAGGAAAGTGTTTTGTGAGGTCACTAGGGGCGCGGGGAGGTGAATATTGAATTTCTTTGCCACTTCAACTAACTGCTTTAATTTTTACTGAAGCAGATTTATACGTTTTCCTCTTTATTTTTTCTACGACCAAAATTTTTCTACGATATGAATATTATATTGGACAAACTGTAAATGATTCGATTTCATAATCCAGAAAACATAAATCTCATAAAAAATATCTCCAACATATAATAAAAGAGCCATACGATAATTTTATTACATTACTAGTGTAACCCGTGCCTACGGCCGGGACTTCACTATCGCAGTTGAAAACACGCATTTAACATTGTCGTATGAAAGTATGAACTCTCTCTACTGCAGTCCAAACAGACCGCAATGAGTTCCCCCTCCCTTAATAAGCTTATAGTATTACATGACAGTGAATCTTACACGGTTAACCTAATTATGATTCATGTACCAACGCTACATATGCAGTTTAAAAAAGCAACTTGTTTTTAGGCTTAATTCAGAAACGGATTCAATCAATTAATTCTAGGCTTTCTGTCAATAATAATATCCGAAATCAGCAATAATTCAAAAGTCTAACATCCAAAAGCATCGCCAATGATAAGTTTTTGCTTCCTTGGATGGTTAACATGGTCTAACAAGTCTACGTCCCACCGTAAGTGGCCACATCAAGCGTTGTCTTTGCCATGACTCCCAGTTATTGCGCATTAGTTCTGTAGAGCTAATAATGCCGCTGATTTTCCTGGAAAAAAGGCTAAATTAACGATTTGGTTTAGCAAAGCTCTAGACAATTTTAATCGACCGGCTATGTAACCCTTTTAGTCATGGATCTGACGACATTCCGTCTATATAACTTCCGCCCGGGGTTTGAGACTTGGAAAATTTATCCCAATAAAATTGAAATCAGAAAATAGTATGCTAAAATCGTTCTCCATTGTCAGATTCGTTCCAGGAGGTCAAATCTAGTTTAAATTTCCAAAATTTTCGGGGGCTTCGCCCCCAAAAGTAACCTAGGATTATCTATTAAAAAGCGTTCCGGGCCCTAAAAAAGAATCTGGAATCCGCCATGAAAAATCTTTGAACCGCGCGAATACAAAGACTTTTTTATGCGAGCGAAGCGAGCGGGCCACATAAAACGAACAAATTGAGAATGTAGGAAATTAAAAATTTTTTGGATATGGGCGCTTTATAGCCAAAAAGAACTCACAATCCAAAGATTCAGTTCAAGCCATCTAAAGCGACTCACGAACATGTACATAAGAACTTAGCATTTTATGAAGTATGGTTTGTGTCAAAGAGATGAGTCTTTAGTCTCTTTTTAAACAAGGCAATATCGGTAAATATTCTCAATTGTATATTCTGAAAATGAAAATTAAATTATTATATCATTAAAAGATTATAATACATATTATATAATAATGAATGATAAAGATGATAATATCTAGAAAGTGGAAGGTATGTATAAAAAGATTTTTGCCCACCAAAAGTGCAATTCTTAGTACAACCCTCGGTCCGATTAGAATCTCCAGGGCAGGGACTTTCCCCGGTGGACGGATAGGGATTCGGGCAAGTTCGGGATCTGGACCGAGTACCTTCTGATGAATTTGCTTCCTCGCAGAGACATGTGCTCCATGAACCCCACTCCGCCCAATCTTCAAAAATGTGAATTTTGTTCATTAAATAATATTATATATTATTATATAATATATATAATACGGTCATACATCCGGATCCTGATGGCACTATGGCGGCACTGTCTGGCACTATGGCGGCATAGTGCCAGACAATCATTATATTTTTTCACAATAACCACGGTGGCATAAAAGCATTACCCTTTATTTACTAGCCTTGTCGAAAAGTAGAAAGTAAGTATAACAAGATTTTTACCCACCAACTGTACAGTCCTCGGCGGTTAGGGTACAACCCTCGGTCTGTTTAGAGTCGCCAGGGCAGGGACTTTCCCCAGTGGAGGGATAGGGATTGGGGCAATGTCGTGATCTAGTCCGAGTACCTTCTACTGCATTTGCTTCCGCACATTCACATGTGCTCCATCCACCCCATCCCTCCCACTCTGAAATATTAACTATGTATTATATAAGTATTTATATCATGATATCAGTATTAAAAAATTTGAATTTATATTGATTATACTCTTTTTTTGGTGATAGATGTTTCTTAAGTTGCCTGGTGGTTCGGTTTGTCATTTCTTTCTTTTGACACGCATATTATCTCCATTTGTAAATTGTAATCAATGTCTTAAGTGGGTGGCTAGCCAGCAAACTGCAGGGATCACTCACTCCATCCCCCCTGTTGTTTCTGGACCCACTAGCAACCTCAGAGTGACCCATATCCAAAAACCCGCATTCTCGCATTCTAAGAATGTAGGAAATTTTTAAAAGTAGGAAATTTTTGACAAAAAGTAGGAAATTCGAGAGCCAACTCTGAGAATTTTCGATAATATTTCAGTAGGAATTTAAGTGAAAGAGCAGACTAAAAGTTGCTGGACCGTTATTTGAATGTCCTCAGTCAGGGATCCACTGATCCAGTCTATCAAATTTCATTTCACAGACCAAAGTTTGTTGCTATTAGCTACAAAATCTGTGCATCAAGTAACCACTAACAAGATGCTATATTGAATATTTGGTCTCATACTTGCTTCCTTCTCCAAATTCCCTTAACCCTGTATTAGTTTATAGCTTGAAAGCAGAAAGTGATGGTAGTAGATGAGAAAACATTTCTGCCAAAATTATAAACTCTTGATACTTCATGCTGTCTCCTATTTCGTGCTTTAGTTAAGCCATGAGTGTTTAGGGATTCTAGAATCCAGACAATTTATCCCAATAAAATTGAAATCAGAAAATAGTATGCTAAAATCGTTCTCCATTGTCAGATTCGTTCCAGGAGGTCAAATCTAGTTTAAATTTCCAAAATTTTCGGGGGCTTCGCCCCCAAAAGTAACCTAGGATTATCTATTAAAAAGCGTTCCGGGCCCTAAAAAAGAATCTGGAATCCGCCATGAAAAATCTTTGAACCGCGCGAATACAAAGACTTTTTTATGCGAGCGAAGCGAGCGGGCCACATAAAACGAACAAATTGAGAATGTAGGAAATTAAAAATTTTTTGGATATGGGCAGAGTGACCTCCACGTTGGTTGGGGATGGTAACTGCCCCTCATTGTCCGGCAGGCCCAGGCTAAACGTCGTCTGGCTGGATCAGATCAAATACCAGCACATACCTGGCCTCTCTCCACTCCACCTCACTCACACAGGACTCCTGTGACAGGAGCCCGGCAAGCTCCTTTCCGCTACGGACAGTAGAATATCAAAACGACCCAGCCATGGACAAATGGTACCTAAAACCCATAAATATGCCAAAACAGTACAATAGCTCGTCACATAAACAGAGAGAACGGCAAAAGGGGTCTACCGAAAACACGGAACGCGCGGACAAAGACATACATAGTAAAGAAAGCCACAAATTTATCACCAAACTGGTGCGCGCGCGACCAAACAAATCATGGCAAAACAACAAACATCAAGCACAGTAAATATCGAGAAACACCTAGCGGAGCTGTTAGCCAGATAACAGTGGAAGTGGTAGTTTCTCGCATTATCAAACCCATTTTCCGGGAGGCTGTTTCGACAGTTGACTTTCTATGGACTCAGATAGTCCCCCGATGACGGAACATATGGCAGATACTCTTAGGGTTATCGCCGTTCCACCGGGTCATAACAGCAATGTTATGTCCATTTGGTTCGTGCCGGATCAGCGAGTCCCCATCCCAGCCGAGCTTTCGGTACACCTCCGCAACCAAAGGAGCTCCAAGAGACGTTAGCCACAAGGCGGACGTAGCCTCCCCGCAAACCCGGGGAGGTAGAGTGAGCGCCCATCGACAAAAAAAAAAAAAAATGTCTTAAGTTACAAATTCTAAAACCGTGTTAGAATATACATATGAAATGGTGATAATTACATGAATAAAAAGATGATGTTATTATGTAGGGGGGGGGGGGGGGGGGGGGTGTCATGTCCGTCTATGTCCGCCTATGTCCTGTCCTTTTTGGATTCTATGAGACAACGGACGTGTTTTTTGGGACATTGGCGGACACGGACGGACATCGGCGGACTCGGACGGACATTGGCGGACTCGGACGGACATTGGCGGACTCGGACGGACATTGGCGGACCCGGACGGACATTGGCGGACTTGGATGGACATTGGTGGACATTAGCGGACATTGGTGGACATTAGCGGACAAACATTTTGAGGACTGAAGAGTACTGAAGAGTACTGAAGAGTACTGAAGAGTACTGAGCAGGATGGCTGAGAAGGATGGCTGAGGAGGATGGCTGAGGAGGATGGCTGAGGAGGATGACTGAGGAGGATGACTGAGGAGGATGACTGAGAGGGAGGAGAAGGATCAGGAAGACCCAGGAGGAGGAGGACCCAGAAGGAGGACCTAGGAGGAGGAGGAGAACTGAGGAGGATGACTGAGGAGGAGGAGGACTCAGGAGGAGGACTGAGGAGGACTGAGAAGGAGGAGGACTGAGGAGGATGGCTGAGGAGGATAACTGAGAGGGAGGAGGAGGAGGAAGAGGAGGAAGAGGACTGAGGAGGAGGAGGAGAAGGACTGAGGAGGAGAAGGAGGACCAAGGAGGAGGGGGACCCAGGAGGAGGACCCAGGAAAAGGCCCCAGGAGGAGGAGGAGGACTGGGGAGGAGGAGAACTGTTGAGGACTGATGAGGAGGACTGAGGACGAGTAGGAGGAGGACTGAGGAGGGGAGGAGGAAGAGGACTGGGGAGGATCAGGAAGACCCAGGAGGACCCAGGAGGAGGAGGAGGAGGACCCAGGAGGAGGAGGAGGACTGAGGAGGACTGAGGAGGAGGACTGACGATGACTGAGAAGGAGGAGGACTGAGGAGTACTGAGGAGGATGGCTGAGGAGGATGGCTGGGGAGGATGGCTGAGGAGGATGACTGAGAGGGAGGAGGAGGAGGACTCAGGAGGAGGACTCAGAATGAAGAGGAGGAGGACTCAGGAGGAGGACTCAGGAGAACTGAGGAGGAGGAGGAGGAGGACTGAATAGGAGGAGGAGAAGGAGGGGGACTGGGAGAGGACTGGGGAGGAGGAGAATTGATGAGAAGGATGAGGAGGAGGACCCAGGAGGAGGAGGACTGAGGACCGAGGAGGAAGAGGAGGAGGATGGAGAGGAGGAGGAAGACCCAGGAGGAGGAGGACTGAGGAGGACTGAGGAGGATGGCTGAGGAGGATGACTGAGAGGGAAGAGGAGGAGGAGGAGGAGGACTCAGGAGGAGGAGGAGGACTCAGGAGGACTGAGAAGGAGGAGGAGGAGGACTGAATAGGAGGAGGAGGAGGGGGACTGGGGGAGGACTGAGGAGGAGGATGGAGGACTGAGAAGGAGGAGGAGGAGGAGGACTGAATAGGAGGAGGAGGAGGGAGACTGGGGGAGGACTGAGGAGGAGGATGGAGGACTGAGGAGAAGGATGAGGAGGAGGACTGAGGACTGAGGAGGAAGAGGAGGAGGATGAACATGTAACTGATTGAAAGTCCGGAGCTTCGGGTGTTGTTACAAGGCACGAGAGGTAGCTGGGGTTCTGATATAGGAAGATGGAGTCCATACTTTGGGTCTTTTTATAGTATTCAGATGGACAATACTTTGTTCACTTTAGATGTTGGTTGTGGACAATAAAGACACCAAAATATCAGAACTTTGTCAGAGAGCGAGAAGGCGATGCAAAGGTGTTCAACACCGACCAACTCTGTTAATAATAATACAAAACACTGTTTAAATAACCGCACTCAATTATAACGCTAAACTTCCAGAGTGCATTTCTATTCGTCTGCTAACTGTGACAAACCATTTGGCAAACCTCGGATTGGCCTGTACAAATCGAACGACTAATTTGTTCCATGAAAGCTGCTCGGATATTTAACTTTCGGGATAGTTCCACTGTCTTCAGGTCTACTACCATATGCAGCACTTTAATCGCATTTGAAATGCCTGTCGTTGGCACAGTTATCACGGTTACATATTATGGAACGTGCACTATAACGGTAGTCTGATCGATACATGTAGCCATTACCAAACGGCTACAATCTACCCTGTCTTCCTCCTGAGATCATATGAACTACTTATATTACCTATGAACTGTGCTTACTGGGTAGCCGTATCCACTACCGGCTACACCTCACCCTGTCTCTCCCTCGAGACATCACCGGGCCCTACTTTCCAAACGGATTCCTTAAATCAATTTTTATAAACAATATTACACAATCACAATTGTTCAATCTCACACACATAAAACACACGCTTGATATTGTTCCATATTCTGCAGTCCATAATTATATATGCATTTCACGTGACGTCAAACATTATAACTCCGAAGCGTCCAAACGTTGAACGTTGCTGAACTCGGAAAACCTTCCAACTTTTCCAGCGGTCGATTTGACTCTCTCATAGAGTCTGAAGAGTTTTGTCCAGCTTCAACTCGAACAATCTCACTCCGACGATTTAATTTTTAGGATTCTTCTTCATCTGTGACTCGATCTTACCGAGATTCTCCATCTCAGTCTGCGTTCTTCCTCGAACGGCATCACTTAATCTTCTCTTCTCTCTCCGGGATCGAGGTTCCCATACGCCGTCGTGAGATGTCCTCCCATATCGTCGAAATGCCTCGTGCACATAAATACTGAACTGATAGGGTTGGCCCGTGTCCTACCAGTTGTACATCGAGACAGGTATCCACTTCAGCAACCACTCCGTCATCTACTTGATCATCTTCTCGGTGCTGTGTCGATCATCAAGCCTTTTCCAGTTTTACAACGAAACAAGACTCGTCTTGTTACCCTACTAGTTTTCGGGTCTTCATGGTGCCTTTCCCGACTCTCCGACAATTTTCCAATTCTTTTCCTCTCCGACAGCACAGCATACCAGTCGTCACCAGGCAGCTCTCAGAACTCCAGTCAGTTTACTTCAAGGTTCCTCGTCAACTGCGTGCGGGACGTCAACCAGAGCGGTAGGGCTCAATTAGGCGACTTCCTCCGCAGTAGGTTCCCTGTAGTTCGCGCCATTGTAACTGATTGAAAGTCCGGAGCTTCGGGTGTTGTTACAAGGCACGAGAGGTAGCTGGGGTTCTGATATAGGAAGATGGAGTCCATACTTTGGGTCTTTTTATAGTATTCAGATGGACAATACTTTGTTCACTTTAGATGTTGGTTGTGGACAATAAAGACACCAAAATATCAGAACTTTGTCAGAGAGCGAGAAGGCGATGCAAAGGTGTTCAACACCGACCAACTCTGTTAATAATAATACAAAACACTGTTTAAATAACCGCACTCAATTATAACGCTAAACTTCCAGAGTGCATTTCTATTCGTCTGCTAACTGTGACAAACCATTTGGCAAACCTCGGATTGGCCTGTACAAATCGAACGACTAATTTGTTCCATGAAAGCTGCTCGGATATTTAACTTTCGGGATAGTTCCACTGTCTTCAGGTCTACTACCATATGCAGCACTTTAATCGCATTTGAAATGCCTGTCGTTGGCACAGTTATCACGGTTACATATTATGGAACGTGCACTATAACGGTAGTCTGATCGATACATGTAGCCATTACCAAACGGCTACAAACAGGAGGAGGAGGACCCAGGAGGAGGAGGAGGACTGGGGAGGAGAAGGACTGTTGAGGACTGATGAGGAAGTCCCAGGGGGAGGAGAAGGAAGAGTAGGAGGAGGAAGCATCTAAATGTTATTTCCATTTTTGTCCGTTTTTGTCCATTTTTGTCCGCTCTATTTTTTGTCCGTTTTGAAAATATAGGGTACCGAACGGACAAAAAACATGATCCCCCTATAACAGCAAAAAATGAACATTTTATTTAGCAATTTAGGTGTCCATTAATGTCCGCCTTTGTCCGTCTATGTCCGCCTATGTCCGTCTATGTCCGCCTATGTCCGCCTATGTCCTGTCCTTTTTGGATTCTATGAGACAAGCGGACATAGACGGACGTGACACCCCCCCCTATGTATATATAAAAATAACGAAATATATTTGCCGACCAACTGTGCAGTCTTTGGAACAACTCGTGGTCTTTGTAGAGGATCCAGAGCAGGAAAATCCTCCGCAGGACGGAGAAGGACTACTGCAACTTCGTGAACTAAACCGGCTACCTTCAGCTGCATTCGCCTCCTTGCAATCACATGAGCTCCATCCACCCCACACCGACCAGTTCCCGTCCCGTCTAACACCTGAGTTTAATCTCTGTATGAATACATTCTGTTCGTATTTTACTTTTTCTATTTTGTTTTTCATAAACTTTTGGATTTAGATTAATTTCATGTATTGGGTCCAAGTAATTGCGGACATAGTTCACTATGTGTTTACCTGTTTGGGTGCCCATCTTATTTTACAGATGGCCGGGCATTATTTTGAACGATTCTATTTTATATTCATTTATTGCTGTACTCTGTAAAATTTGAATTTAAATATGTAATACAAAATTCTAGTGGAGAAATAAAATATAAATTTCACTGTGAAGTGTACCACAATCTCTTCACATTTCACTATTTGGAAACTTGGTCGCCTAGTAGTTCTGCGATAGTACGCCCCAAATCTCACATAATTTAAATCAGATAAATCCATATTTTCGCACAATCAGTAAAAACACATGAAATACGACTTTAAAAACATGATTGGATTATTAAAGAGTAAGACGATAGACGAATCTACAAACTTTCCAAATTATTCAAATTAAGCTTACATGGTGACGATCTTCTTCTACTAATTACAGGCGAGGATCTTCTTCTGCTGCTCTCACAGGGTCCAATCAGAATAACAAAGAAGCAGACCACCAACCAAACCCCATCTTTAGCTTTCATTCTTCGTATAAAATATAATGTCAAACACTGTACCACAATTTAAAAGATAATACTAGCTGACATATAATATGAATTAAATAATTATATCTTACTATATATAAAGCGAGACGATATATATGGATGTGTTTATCCGTACCATTTTACTGACACCACGGCATCAACTTTAACGCGACTTTCCGCAAAAACCGTAAAAGATATACAACTGAAACTTTTTTGACTGGGTCAAATGTTTTAATGGCCTTCAAATCAGCATGAAAAAATAAAAAATTGGCCAAGGAATAGGAGTTTTAGAGCCCAAAATTTGGACCCCCAAGTGGTGTCAAAAACACGAATTAAATAGGTAATAATTATTTTAGTCTCTTGAGTCTTGACACCATTTTAGGGTTATACGGGTTCCTGCTAGTTATATAAAAATGTGAAAACATTTGGCCCCCAGAAGTAACTGCGAACATGCAACCCTTCAATAAATCTTGAAATACGGTTAATAATTGTATAAAAACTAGAAAGCCAGTGGTCACAGGGAGGTAGCTAATCGTATTCTTTGATAGTCAGTTTTTATCGCATAACATATAATATCCAATCTATTTGCAGTTGTAGCTAAACTGATCTGACGGATTCTACCGAACATAATTCATGAAATTTGCACTCCTGAAAAGCTGAGACTGATTTTCCCCTTTTCTTTGGGAATGGAAATTCTATAAATTGTGTTCGGGAGAAAACCTCAGATCAGTATAGCTACAATCGATAAGGCTGTACTGTAATTAGTTATGAAACTCTAATATCTTATGGTTAACGTTTTTCAGTTTCAGACCTTTCCACTTAGTAATTCCTGGTTATTAAAATCTGCCGAGAATTACTGAACTTCAACTACAAATATTGGTGATTTAAGTATTCTTGAAACTAAAAATTCACGAAGTTTTATGAGAAGCATATATCTTGAATTTTCGAAATTTTTCCATGTCTCGAAAAAAAATGTAAGTGAAATTTTTCAAAGTTTTTCTAAAAACTACTTTTCTCCGTGTTTTAAGCTATTCCGATCATTTGAGCCAAACATCATTAGCTAATTGATCCAATTCTCATGTCCAATTAACTGATTGTCTGACGTAAAAATTGCCTTTACAAAAGTTTTTCTCCTGATTAACTCCATCGACAAGAAAGCTAGGTTGTATTTCGAATGGAAGAAGACTTGTACATTAAAACTACCTGATGGGGATCCAAACAAGCACATCTACTACAAGGAATTCGACAAGTTTCTCGAGAGCTCAATAAAGATGGCAAAGGCTATGTGCTATACTCAAAAATTCGAGAAGTACAGCATGAACTCAAAAAAGACTTGGGAAATTATAAATGAACTCCGTGGCAAAAATTTGTCTAGATGTAAGGACGATTTTGTTATAGATGGCCAGAGAGTTACTTGCAGACGAATAATTGCTAACAAATTCTGTGAATATTTTACATCTCTTGCAAGTAATCTCAATAAAAATGTACTGTCAAACAATAGTATTTCTCTGGAACCAGTAGAATCATTTGCTCAGTTTATGTCTAATTCGGTATCTGACTCCATATACCTGGAAGAAACTAATGAAGAAGAAATTATAGAGGTGATCAGAGATTTTCAAAATGGTAAGGCGAGTGACATACCTATAGTTGTTGTAAAAAAACCGGCCAAGCTCATTGCTGGTACCTTGGCTAGGCTTTACAACACATGTATACAAAGTGGTACATTCCCAAGTATTTTTAAAACTGGTAAAGTTATTCCTATTTACAAGAAAGACAATAAGGAATGCATTGAAAATTATCGGCCTGTATCAATATTACCTTTATTTGGAAAGATCTTCGAGAAGGTCATTTATAAACGCCTCTATAATTTCTTCACATCTAAAGGTGTACTAACAGACTCACAGTTTGGATTTAGAAAAGGCCATTCTACCACCCATGCTCTACACAAATCTATAGACTCCGTTACTAAGTCTCTGGCAAGCAATAAACATGTCCTAGGGATATTCATTGACTTGAGCAAAGCCTTCGACACCCTTGATCACGATATTCTTTTATGCAAATTAAATTCCTACGGTATTAGGGGCACAGCACTTACCTTACTAAAAAGCTATTTGACTAACAGAAAGCAGTATGTTATGTATAACGATGTACCATCAGAAACAATGGACGTGAAATTTGGAGTACCACAAGGGTCAATTCTAGGGCCGTTACTCTTCCTATTGTATATGAACGATATAGTAAACTGCTTTTCAGACAGTGAGGTGAAATTTGTACTTTATGCTGATGACACTAATATCTTCATATCAGGACCATCTAGAGAAGCAACATACAAAAAAGCCAACTTAGTACTTAAACATGTCTCGATTTGTTACTGGAAACCCAGCAATTGACAACACCTGGGCGTGAAATTGAGTGGCTCCCCCTAAATAGCTGGGGCATTGAACCAGCTTAGTTGATCAGCATCCCATCCCTTGCATACAATTAATTACAAAAGCGCTAATTATACCTGTTTCAAGAGCATCCTGTCTGGAAGTTCCCTGACTGCCGTGTGAATCTTTGGATCTATTTTTGGATCTATTTTTATATTGATATGATTTTTATATACCTATATATCCATCGCATAATTTCCATGTCCGCCTGAACAAACCTGGCACCATCAAATCTTACCTCTAGAAACCCCAGAACAAATCAAGCCTAGTCTGAATTCAAAACTAGTTGACCAGCTACGTACAGTTTCCTGGACAACTGGAACCTTTTTGGGCCATGCACAAGCCAATAGCATGTATGGTCCTGCAGTGGGGTCTCCTTGTCCTTGGATCTGTGTTTTGATCCGTCTTTTCTTAAAATTTTCAATTTGTGTCACTAAGACTCACCTATTAAATGTTAATCAACACCACTGGTCCTAGTTAGATTTAGCCAAGGCACGACTACTCAAAAGTAACAGTTAAATAGGTGTGACATACTATTATATTCTTATAATTATATCATATGAATTGATTGCACTGCTAATAAATAAAATACTTTGTTTTACTAAAATACTTTGTTTTACTTTGAAAAGGAGCATACAAAACCCATTTTTAATAGATTAAAAATTCTTACAGCTCAAAACTTGTACAAATATCACTGTATTTTAGAATTCTCTAAGATTATCAAGTACCACTGCCCATACTCCCTTTATGAGGCTATCAACATTTCAAACCGTGCAACGAGTCTAATGGTTATTCTCCTAAATAAATCAAATACATTTTTGTTTAATGCAGCCAAGCTTTGGAACGCTGTTCATAAAAAAATTTTAACTTCAAGCAATTGCTTAGAAACGTCCATTAGCTTGATAAAACTGAGAACCAAAGCACTATTAATACAAGCACAGGCAGCTGACTTAAAAGATACTTGGACTCCAAACAATTTTAAATTGCAGTAATCAAATCTAATTGCAGCGGCACACACTAACTATTACTATCATGATTGTACTATAGACAGAAAATCTTTCAAATCGATTTTGGGCGCTTTTTAAACATTTGTTGTAATGTTTTTAGATAAGTTAAATATCTAAATTTATAAAATTTTTTATCGGAATTAATTAATTGATATTTAATAATTTATTCGGTAGGTTTATCTGGTATTGATATTGATTATATTGATATTGTTATTATTGAACGAAGCTAACTCTAGACATAGTTAATACTACTTCTTTTAAGAAAGGGACTTGGAGTATAAACGACCAAGTTTGCATAAATTTCTACCCAACCAAGAACTCAGGAGGCAAAGGTGGGTGCGTAAACTTTTGGTCTGCACTCTCCGATCCTGTATCACCCTGGATTCTTCTCGACGTATCTTTGTAAAAGTTATATACCTTTTAGTCAATCTCTTGCTACTCCAAGTCCCCTAAGATATCTGATCTAAAGTTCGTGCTAGTTATATATATAATATGAAATATATTTTTGTGTGCTTTAATTGATACTAAATAAAATTGTTGTTTTCTTGAAATTGTTGTTTTCTTGATAAGATAAACACCCTCGATTAATCTGCAAGCTTTTACGATGTTCAAAACTAAAGATATTCGACAAACAATAAAGTTGGTAAAAAGTGGTAAAAGTGGCAAAAAGTGGCCTTAAGACACGTGGAAAAGTTTGGAAAACGTGGCCAGCCATAGAGGGCACCTAAGGGGACTTAAAAACGTCAAAAATCCTTAGAAAGCTTCTTAAGTGTCGGTAGATCGATTTTTTCAGACGGATCTGTCTGTACTATATAAGCTTGACCCATGTAATCCCTGAAATGTTTGTACACTTCTGATACGGAATTCAAGAGTTATTCAAGGGGTGCGTGTGGACTGTTACTTCTGGGCCAACCTGTATGTATAAATTTTACTAATTAATGATATTATGGAAAATTATGAACATTAATCCTCTGGTGAGGACGGTAAAATTGAAATCCGCAGATCTTCCTCGAATTTCAACATAAGTTATACGATTTACCATCTGTCAAAAATATATAAGTTATAAAATAATATCATTTTTTACAGATATAAATTATCAAATAAAATCATTTCCTATCATTTCAGCAATTTCGATAACTCAATTACTTCAGAGCATTCTTAAGGTTTAATATGGCCTCTGAGTAGTCCTTCAAATGGGCGCTGTTAGCTAAACCACTGTGGTCCGCGCTGTCTATAGCAGTGCAGAGTGTCCGTATACTCTGCATTATTCGTAAGTCAACTGCATCGCTGTCCTGAGTGGGCACTGCTTCTGTTCTTGTTCCTGAAAATAATAAATGTTTAATAACATAAATAAACAAATTTTATTTATTTTATTACACTAAGTGGACACTCTCACTTCGTCCCCAACTATCAAATATGTTCGACCCACTCAAACCATAAAAGGTGCTGTGCATATAATTGCATGATAAAACCCAACAGCAAGAAATCTAACTGCATGCATAAAAAATGACAAAATCTAATCAAGTTACAATGCATCATGTTCAATGTTCCAACCTGAACGAGTAACAGAACTTTGAGCAGCAGCAACAAGTCTGGGAGGAGGTGAGGGTGTCCGTCTCAGTTCTCTTTGTTCCCTCTCTGCTGCTTGTTGAGATAACATGGCATATAGATCTTCTCTGGTCGTACCCACCGGTACATCAGTGATAACTGTGGTGGTGGCTGGGGCCTGTACAACTGGCTGTTCATTGTCCGGTACTAGGTCAACCTCTTGGCAGCCAACACAGTATGTTTCCTTTCTTCTGTTCTGAATTAAAAGTTATTCAATGACAATATAACAAACGTGCAATGACTTTTAAGTTAGTTTTAAACTAATTACAAAACTACAAATCTATTACATTTATTGAGTACTACTACTCAGTTAAACAAAAATTCATGAAGATTTTGTTGTAACTTTGTATGAAAAGCATTAATAGATTAATAGAACATCACTAAAATAATTGCATCCTAAAATGTTTTCTAGTTTCTTTTTAATGTAGATTACCTCTAATAAAACCGTATGGCAGGTCTCACATTCATCAGCTAACATCTTGTAGCCTCTTAACAAATAGTTGCCAACTAAGCTACTTATCCGATCCAAACGCTCCATCCTTTCGTTTTGATCAGTAGAATATACATTAACCATGTCACCTGATGAGAATGAAGTTGAATGACCTAGTATAAATACAGAAAATAAACAACAATAAGATCCTATTTATATTGGTTATTGTGAAGGGTGTCAGAATCCAGAAGAATAAACGAGTAGAGGCAATTATAACACAAGGGTCAGAAACATAAATTTTTAATTAAAGACGTCGAAACAGCCAAAATTAGAACCTCAAGTGTTCATCCACCACCATTCCAAACAAATCGAATCAATATTCTGACATAAACATCATCATAACATCAAAGATAAATCTTAAAATTGTAGTTCCACTATTAATATAAAATACCCTGGTGCACAGATTTGGAGTTTTTCTAGTACTTGTGCCCAAGTCGCAGAAAGAATTCGAATCTCCAGTCTTTTCTGAACGATTAAATTGAAGTAGTACTAACATATAATGGTCACATTACAGCTACAGTCTTGTGACACTGATGGTAAACTGTTGTGACATTTTTGTTGTGCTACAGTGAAAGCCTTGTTACACTTTCAGCCTTTTGTATGCTGGAATGATCACCTGGAATGATTTCTGTGGCGAAAGCTCTAAATAAAAACTATTTCAATCTTTTGCGATTTGAATACAAGTACTGATAACCCAGAAGTCTCTATCACAAGAAAAGCAAAATAGGCTGCAGAAAAGAGCACACAAAACAAATGAAACAAACTTTCACGGGTTATACTCCAAAAATATCACTGCAATTTAAAAATGTTTAGAGTCCAAATATCTTTTAAGTCAGCTGCCCAAAAAAAAGAAATTATTTCGGCCCCGTTTATTATTTTTATTACTTAGCTTGCTTTCCATTGCTCGCTCCTTGCTCTCTCCAGAGCCCTTGCGCTTGCAGTAGCGCGCGCCCGCCTCACGGTGTGAAACAAGCGCGCCCGAAGTGGCGCGAAAGCACATGGTTAGGTGAAGCTTGCTCCTGTCAAAGCTGTATACTGTATATAACTCGAAAAGAGCGCCGCGCATTGAGATTGGCGTGCCAGGTAATATCGTTTATTGCTAATGCAATGAACTAACCCGGTTCGGCACGTGCCCAGTATTTCGCGTCAAGAAAAAAGCGGCGAGCGCTATAGTTACTGGGCCGCGCTCAGCCTGTCATTCCGCCGAATCTCTATTCGTCATGAACATAATAGCCTGAGGTCTTCAGGTAAGCGCTATAGCTGCTTATCTAAATTATAAATATGAGTATTTGTATCAATTATATTTCGTCAATATTTGTGATTTTGCAATTTTTAATGACATGTGATACTGTCATCATGAATATTCTTTTTTATTTTTTGTGAATTCGCGCGTTTGTCCCTTGACAGTTGACCATTGTTAATGATTTGGCCCGGCGAGAAGAAAGTGGCGCGCGCTACTTCGACGAAATTAAAACGAGTAAAATCCGTCAAGTTCGTCCCACACTTTTGTTTTTTTAGTAATAAGTTTAACACAAGTGTTGTTTATTGTTAATTAATGGACTAACTCGGCGGCCGCGCTACTTCGTAGCGGCAAAAAATTTGAAAATAAAGCTTAAGCGGCGCGCGCTTCTTTAAAGCAATTAAGGAAAATACCATTTGTTTGACAGATGTTACTCATCTATATTTCTTTGAAGTAGCGCGCGCGCCGCGCCGCTTTCTTTTAAAATGGCCCGAGGCAAGTGCTACGAAGTAGCGCGCGCTGGGCTAGTCCATTAATTATGGACAAATTATCCGTCTGCAACACAAGTGTTACGTGACATTAATAAAATAAGTATGAATATTTTTCAAAGATGAAGTGTAATTGTAAAAGTGTTGTTGTTTTAATAAACAGGGGAAAGAAGCAGTTCACTGGTGACCCATGTTATAATGTTCATAAACAATAAATAGAGATTTCAGATTTGGCGTAAAATGAATAAAGCGATATTAGACTGTGTTTAAACAAAAATCTTTAATTTAGATACTATCGTAATATTATGGGAACAGTTTTTCTACTTTAGCTGTTTAGTTCACAAAAAAATAAATATGGACTGCTTCAAATTGATATAGATAATTTGGGAAACTTTTGTTTCACTAACCACTGAGAACCACTGGTCTTTGGTCCAGTAACTGCATCTTCAATCTCAGTTTCATTTTGAAACGTCAAGTGACTGCATGGTAAAGTCAAATATTTTGTTATATGAACATTTATTCTAGTATCTTGAAGTGTATTAACTATTTAGCATTAAGATTTTTAATTTTATTCTAAATTATTGATGGACGGCCATCATAATTTGAATGTGTGTGAAACAACAAAACATAACCACTCAGACATGTCTATGAATATAAAAACTTAAAGGTAAAATATGATAGGACGGGCGCAAATAGGGGGCGCTTTTTCGGTGGGTCGCCAAGATGCAAAGTTACGCCGCTGGGTACTCAACAAATAAAAAAGATTTCGTCAAACTACTGGTGTCAATCTGTAGTATCAATCTGCAGTATCAATCTGCAGTATCAATCTGCAGTATCAATCTGCAGTATCAATCTGCAGTATTGCAATCTGCAGTATCAATCTGCAGTATCAATCTGCAGTATCAATCTTATTGTGCAACTGCAGCGTTATAAGCAGTTTGATTAGCGTATGTAACCGTTTGTCTTTCTTAATTGTTTGTCTCATTTCAAATACAGTGGGAATATTTATTTTATTGGTGACTGGTTTGAATCAAGATATACCCACTTGTAACACACTCACTTAGTTGGGTGTCATGTCTGAGCCCACGGTGCGAGGCCTGATCCACGTGGAGATTAAGGAGGCTATCGATCTTCCCGACACGGATGGTTTCTTTGCTGGAGCTACTGATGCTTATGTCAAGGTGAGTGATTTAATTTGAAACTTTAATCAAATGATACAGAATTATACAGCAATGAACTTATATAAAAACAATGGTGACAAAGAATGTTTAGGCTGGAATAATGCTCAGACTGGTTAGTAAATTTGACTGTAATATATTATGATTATGGAAACCGGGAACATCCATTTTAGAGCACATGTTTTAAACTCTTACTCTGGCCCCCATGAGTGTTTTTTTGTTGATATCGAGCTGAAATTCTGCAAGAAGTTTATTCATATCTTGTTCAAGATCAGTGTAAAATCTTGATATCGTTTCTGAAAAGGCTGCATTTTTATAAATTTTTAAAAGTCCAAGAGTGGTAATTTTACTTTTCAGGCTTGTTTTGACCAAAAATTCCGTCAAGGAACATCGGATTGTTTTGATGCTTGACATTTAAATGTTCTCTGAATTCTGGCGCAGTTTTTGATGCCCTCAAAAATGTGTTTATTCAACTGGAAAGTTGATCTTTTGGACCTCAAAGTCATACAACAAATTTAGGCATATTTGTCGGTTTTCGTATGTACAGATTTTTCTAAAACTTCGATAGGAATGTGCTAGAGACTTTTGGAAGGGTGCAAAATAACCGCAACTAGCACATTTATATATGCGTTATTGATAACAAAACACCATTAAATGCTTCCTTTTAAAGTTAAGGTAGAAAATATGATTTTTGTATCTGCAAAGCCAAAAAATGCACATTCCTAGTGCATGTTTCATTTTAAGTTTTATTTTGCTAAAGTGCCGATTCCACTCAGGTCAAACTCGATGGAGCAAAGATAGCCAAAACTAGCATTGTAGAAGACAAGTAAGTTACAATATAATTTACATCGTCTGCTATGTTCATAGTGTTTACTTAATGTTTTAATTTACTCCATTCAGTATGTTTAAAATGACATAATATATCTGTAGAGAATCGACGACGATAAATATCACCAATAACTTTAAGCAATATCTATTTAGTACGAGCCCAATCTGGAATCAGAAGTTCGTCACATTTATCAACCATATTGGAGACGTGTTATCGATAGAGGTGGTAGACGATGATATTGGGAAGAACGACTCTATCGGAACTCATGAGGTATTTACTGTACTTAGTAGGTACTACAGATTAGGTGTTACACCTTATATCTATGATAATATGTATATTATTTTATTTTATCAAAATATTTTGAGCATACACTTTGATTTGACCTGTGTACATTTGATCGCCAACAATCATCTTGCGAGAAAGAAGGTAAAAATGCAAATATTATATGCACTTGAATAGATGTAATAAAGCTGCAAACATGTTATACAGTATACACAAAACATGTAAAACTTGGCAAGATCACACTGTCTAATTGTCAGCCCTTTTTTATGATTTATTGTGAAAATAATGAACATTACCCTGGGGATTATTCGGTGGTATGAGAGAAGACTGATGTTCCAAATTTTATACCGTGTCGTGGCCGTATAGTGGCTGTATAATGGCCAAACCTAATCTCCCAATTACCCTTGCTACCTGTTGCAAATTACTTCGCTTCAGTAAATGATAATGATGATAGGAGCATCCTCGCTTTTCTATTTTTTGTAGGATTATCTTCCTTAATACTGCAGTAGTTGATAGTTTTAAAAACCTAGATAATTGTAAACCTCAGATTTCACATAACTTTAAAACGTGCTCGAGATATTATAGTGATGGGGAAGTGCAGAGTTGTAAATACTACTGCTACTGTAATCGTTTACCTTACAGTGACGTTATATTGTAAAAATAACGTTATTGATTTTATTATGGCGAGGTGAAATCTTAATTTTTTTTTTTTATTATCTAGACACTTATTTTACTTCGGTGTATTCCAACAGCCACAATGTTACACAAGTGCAACCAGCCAATTACAGGAAGCCGAAGGATCTTTTTGGCCAGTGACGGTTAAGGTAGTGTGTACCATACTTTCTTCGTCCGAGACTTTGCTGCAATGTGCAGCTCCTCATTTAACCCTCACACCCGATTTCTCGAGTATTCGGCTGAGTAGACCGGGGGGCTGCATAGACCACTCATGATCCTTAGCTGAACGTCCACGACGCTCACCCCACGACCAGGCAGTCAGTGGGTTTCGAACTCGCAACCTAACGATTGTAAGACAGGCGTTCTAACCAACTGCGCTACCTGCGCTAATGAAATAAGATCGCGAGTAAAAAACTGTATTTTCTCAATAATAGAAATGATGCCCAACAAACTATGTATTCAAATAAATAACTTTTCTTGCTGAACAGTAAATTCCATATTTCAAAGAGTTGACCGTGATATAAGGCTTCGTCTGATATTAGTACCCAAAAGCGAAAGTGCAGCAGTTGCAATGTGTCAACGCTATGCGCCTTAACTCCTTGAACAAATAAATAATAATAAAACAAAAGTTAAATTTATTACCAATTATTCAATCAATACATATCATAAATTCTAATATTGGAAACACAATGCAGAATGGATGTCTTAAACTATAATTTGTTGTCACTAATAATCTATTTACTTTCAAAGTTGAAATTTAGTTAAGTATGAAATGCCACCACATCATAGTTAGGGTAAAATATAATTCTTAAAAATTTTAAAATTAAGAAGATTGCTCTATGACTTAAAATTTAAAATTTAGCTAAAGATGTCTAATTTTTAAATAGTTGGTTACAGTTTATGACAGTACTGGCATGACCAATTTTATTGTGGCTGGTAAAAGGACCCAGTTGCCTGTAAGGGCTTTACCGAACCCCTGGGGACCACAATGTGATAGGATCAGGCCAGATGTTTCTATGTAGAGCAATTTATTTATTTCGGAGCTATGGTTACGTGGTATAGTTGGTGGTCATGTTTAAAGGTCAATTTATCCTTGTGTGCTAATTATCCATCCAGATGCTTAGTGATGTGAGTAAATCATGCCCTTCTACATTATATAACGTTTAACTATAAATTTGTTTTTACCACAGAAACTGTGGCACTAAGGTCAAGAATTAAAAATTTGTACTCTCATTGATAGTTAAAGCGTTTTTTTTTTTTTTTTCCCCAGCACTACTACACAACAAAAACCTGTCGGCCCACCGAGGAAACACAGTCGCAGAACAAAGAACCCAATTGTGCTCCTCTATTCTGCGATCGTGTGTATTTACTATAAACTAGCTAAATGCAGTTAGTAAAATTTTCTGGAATCATTCAAGTCGTTTGATTAGTTTATGTGTCAAAGTAATGTCCATGATAATCATATTTTTGGATCCCCGGTGGGCAAACACTCGTCCCAAAGGCTAAGGCAAACCTGTCAATGTTTCCCCATACGAAGTAAGGAGAACACATACTCAGCCTACAACTCCACCCATGGGACGAGACGTCGTGAGCCTCAAAATATATAGCATATACCCAGTCAGCAAACACTATACACAACATACATACGATACCAATCAATGTATAATGCCATTACTTCATTTAAAAGAAAATACATCTGCTATCTAATTTTTTTAAAAATTGAAGAATAAACCTGAAGAGAGGAGAAGGAGAGAGGGGTTTGGGAGAGGTAGAGTGGGAAAACAACAAGATCCTGTGCCGCAGGATTTTAAAATTTGTTGTATGATGATTCGTTTTGTGTCGTCTCTTAGATTAATATAGGTCTGATACCCTTGTCATGGTTTTTTGCAATAACACCGTGGTTTACTCATGTGATTATGTTTACTAAATCAACCTATTTCAATGATAATTCATTTGCATCAAAGTTGTAACTGCACCAAAGTTGTCGGTCATATTTAGACTGTAGTTCTAACAAAGATTTCTTAAGATTATTCTTGAATATACTGATGGGAGTGGAGAAGTCTATTTCACTTGTTGACTTACGGCAGTGATTCCAAATACTAGTTGATTGATAGATGAATAGTGAGGATGGAGTGGGTGGGATGAAGTAGTTGTCTCGTCTTGGTGACCTGTTGAATAAAGAGAACATTGAGATTGGTGATTGGAACTTATTAATTTTGAACATTTCCAGTAAACAGTGCAACTTATGAAGATTGTGGACAGTCAGGAAGTTATACTCGTTACAGATTGGTTTACTGTGTTCTAGTTCAAAGAAATCTTTGCCTAACATCTGCTTGATAACTTTACCGGTCTTATCCCTAGTGATAGGCCTTACTCTGGCACATGTTTTGAACTTATTGAAGTATGCATCATTATCACCAAAGAGAATTCTTATGCATTTCTTTTGTGTTTTAAATATGGCTTCTAGTTTATTATTTGATACACCTCCCCAAACAGATATTCCATAACATAGGTGTGATTCAAAAAGGGGGGTGTGGTACAGGTCCTTATATAGTTTTTTAGGTACACAGCGTCTAATTCCACATAGTCTACCTATCTCACATTTCAATTTACGGTTTAACGCTCTTAAGTGAGCATCCCAGTTCAGTTTTTGGTCAATAATGACTCCAAGAAACTTAGTTTCCTCCACCTTTTTAATTACTATATTATTTAGTGTCAGTTCTAATTCATTGGTGTTTGAATCTGGTTCATTTCTACAGTTCGGCTTAAAGTGGATATAGCAACATTTCTTTATGTTGATATGCAGCAAGTTACTCTTCATATACTGATGAACAAGTTTAAGAATTTTATTAGCTTTGCAGTAAAGTGTTTTTATACATTTATCTACAACAAATATGTTGGTGTCATCGGCAAAAAGTATAAACTTACCTAGGTCTGATACTCTATATATTTCATTGATGTAGATAATGAAAAGCAAGGGACCTAATACTGACCCCTGAGGAACACCAAATATTACAGACAGTTTTTCGGATTCTTCTCCAAGTACTGAAACATATTGCTGTCTATTAGAAAGGTAACTGGCTATCAATTTATTTGCAGTCCCTCGAATTCCATAATCATTCAGTTTTTTAAGCAGTTTATCATGACAGATTGTGTCAAAAGCTTTACTTAAATCAATGAAGATGCCTAGTACGTGATTTTTATCTCTTAAAGATTTTTCAATGTAGTCGACAGAAAAGTTGAGTGCATGGCTTGTCGAGTGATTTTTTCTAAAGCCATATTGATTTTCATATAATAATCCTTGCGACTGAAAGAAACTGTAAAGCCTGGAGAATATGATTTTTTCAAGTATTTTACCGAATATTGCTAAGGTTGAGATAGGCCTGTAATTTTCAAGAAGCTCAGCATTTTCTTTCTTATATATTGGACTTATTTTACCTACTTTTAGGTCGTCTGGAAAAAATCCCTGTTGCATACATTCGTTGTACAATACCGATAGTAGTGGGCTAATTTTGCCTGATACTGCCTTTACTATATGTACTGGTATGTCGCTAGCCTTGCCATTCTTAAGTTCCGATATGATCTTAGCCACCTCCTCAGGTGAGCAGTCATGTAGATATATATTAGCTGTATTCGATTTAGGTAAGAAGTCACAGAAACTTGGAAGCTGATTTATTTGTATCTCTCCTAGTTCTGTGTAGGCTGCATTAAGGTTAGATGCTAGGGATACAAAATACTTATTGAATTCATTAGCTATAACTCTGCGATCAGTTATCTTTTCATTGTCTATGGTAAATATAGGTCTGATATCACGTTTCTGTTTGCCACGAATTTTATTTATCAGTTCCCAGGTTTTCTTGGAATTTCCCTGAGTTTCAAGAAACTTGTCAGAATAATATTCAGATACAGCTTTTTTACGAACCTTTTTTAGAGCCTTTCTATATTCTTTGTAGTCATCATAACGGTTTCTTTTATTACTGTTGAAATCTTTCAGATAGTCGAATATTACAGGAACAATAGGATTCTGAAGGTTTAACGTTATGTTCATAGTAACCGACCAAAACAACAGTCAGATAACTGGTCTCACCAGAAATCTTACGTTAACATGTTTATAAACCCATACTCATAAATCTAGGTTGTCACAACATTCTTATCCTACCAACATTCTTACCCCAGCCCCACCTAAGGTAACCTTTATAAAGTGCCCACTTTGCAACCTTTTCATTATTCTTTGCGACGTTATTTCTCTAAATTTTACTTGAGCTAATAACACCAATCGTTGTACTTGGAATTTTCAGAATTATTTTTACAGT